GCGCACTCACCTATCCACTAAACAGCAACTTCAATGTTGAAAGATTTTATTAGTTTTTTTTGTTTTAAAACATATATATATATAAGTATATATATATTAATTATAATATATATATATATTTAAAAAAAAAAACTTATATATATATATATATATGTTTTAAAACAAAAAAAACTAATAAAATCTTTCAACATTGAAGTTGCTGTTTAGTGGATAGGTGAGTGTCTCAGTCAGACAATAGTCTTGGAATACCCGACTGAGCACACGTTTACAAGAGAACAAAGAATATATACCACAAATGACGCATTCCATACGTATACAGAAAGTACGAAAATTACACCTACATTACTATAGTTACATCCAATTAGAAAGGTGCTTCATGGGGCAGTGCTGCAAAAGTGTACACCACTGACGTTTAGCATCTCCACACACTGAATGGAGACTGAAATTTCGTCATGATTTAATGCATCTCTATGAAGGGATGCTGATTGGCCAGAGCCGTTTTTGCTTCCGCTCCCTGGCCCACCTCCTTGGCTAAGGTCATCAGAATTGACAGTCTCAGCCAATCCAAGGCTTTTTTCTATGAAAGCATTGTGATTGGCTGGGATCATCACTTCTGATGTCAGCCAAGCAGGCAGATCAGGGGCAAAATCAGCACCAGGAGACTGTTATAAAGGTAAGATTTTTCTATATTTAGGGGGACCAGTGGGCTAGATAGTGATTTTAACACTATAGGGTCAGGAATGCATGTTTGTGTTCCTTTAAAGAGCAGTTCAAATAGTCCTATGATATAAATATTATTTATCCCATAAGCTCCTCCTAGACAATGAATTATGGGATACAATCTGTCCCTCCCTAGATTAGAATGATAGAATGATTCTGAATCATCCTTGTGTGGGAGGTCCCTGCAGCTGTAGGTGACAAACTGAACAGTGCTAAAAAAGTAAGCAGTTTTATTTTTTGCCAATATTTATTTGTTTTACTCTATACAAAGTATTGACATGCCGTTGGATACAATACCAGATAAGCTGTTACTTATGTTTTTGTCAATATTTTGTGGATTCTATTGCTTGTTTATATGAATGTCCGATTTTAAGTATGCTGCAAATAAACATTTTGCTATATTAAAGGAACACTCTAAGTGCTATAACAACTACAGTGCGTTAGAATGGTAAATCCATTTTAGAACGGTTTTTCTTACCTCGAGTCCAGTACCCACCACTCCCTGCATCCAGTGAGGCATGGAAACTCACTTCACTGAGATGAGAAAAGAGCTAGCTCTTCACTGCAAGGTTTGGCTCAGTGAAGAGGGCTTCTGACCTTAACTGGTCAGGAACGTCTGGCTTCTGCTGAATTGTATATGTAGTTGGGAGAGGTGCCCAGTGGTCTGCAGGTAAATGGTTAGACCTTTTACAATGGGGGCTCAGGGGCACTCCTGGCACCAAAACCACTATATTATGTGTAGTTTTCCTTTAAATATTGTGAACATTGCATTACTCTAAATTAGAACAAATTAGTTTGAGCTGGTTCATCAGAATCCAATTCATGATAATCCTCACACAAATCAATTCGTAATTGTTTTTCTTGTCGAGTCTGTAGATAAAATAGTCGGAATACATTTGTTTTGATATCGATTAACATTAATTTTATTTGGACAACCTTGCGCAGTCTAATTTTTGCACAAATCTACTCTGCTTTTCTGATTGGAACCAATATTTTTAAAGCATTATTTGTACAACACATCCTAAAATATTGGGTCATAATTTAACTGTATAACTCCTTTTCAGAATACATTTCCACAGCAGTATCATTATCCAGAATAAACTTGGTTTAATGAAGTACAGACTGTCATTCTAATGAAGAATACTGAATTCTAAACACAATTCTTACAAACTTTTTTTTATTATTTCTTTTAATCCACAAACAGGGCCACAACGTGATGCACAAGCAGCAAGAGAATTCATTTTAAAGATGTTTGTAGATCTGAATCCTGACAGTGACAAAATCATCTACTCGCACTTCACCTGCGCCACAGACACAGAGAACATTCGCTTCGTCTTTGCTGCTGTCAAGGACACGATCCTACAGCTGAATCTGAAGGAATATAACCTGGTCTAACTATGCCTGCTAGCTTTCCCTATCTCCATTTGGGCCATTGAAGAAAATACAAGGAGGACTGTATTATCGATAAGAGGAAAAAACAAACAATTTGCATAATACTAATTTATTGCCGTCCTGGACTCTGTGAAAGTCCACAGAGTTTGTAGTAATTATTATGATTTTATTTAAACTACGTAGAGGAAAACAAAAACGTAGCTGCCATATACAGCGGCACAATTTTCTAGGAGAAGACGACGTGTTTTCATTCTCAGTCGTGCACTCACAAGGCCGGTTTAGTTTTTGTGTTTCAAGTTTTAAGAAGGGAGCAGGGTGCTTTCAATTCTGCATGAGGCTCGGAGGCCCCTACTGCCCCAGGGTATTTTACTCTTTTAAAGTAGGTTACTTTTCCCTTCCCCACAATCATTCCTTCCTGAGCCGCTTCTAGTACTAAACAATTAGGCATAATTTTTATTTTATTTAAGCCATCTGCTTTTGCTAATTTATATACTTTTTAAGGATTAAAAAAAAAAAAAAAGTATTGATACTGTGATTTTTAAATTATTGACCTGTATAGAGTAAACTTTTTTTTTTTTTTTTGGTTGTCTTTTGTCACTTCGAAGTATAACTAGAACTACTTACTCAGTGGGTTCAATTTTTTGCCATCCGTTAATTAAGAAACACAATGGCAAGTGGTTAAAATATATTAAGAAACTCCATGTACCCAAGAGAGGAGAATAGAGTGAGCATGTATTATTTGCAACGTGCCAATGTGGAAGGGAAAGTTTAAAAAAAAAAAAAAAGAAAAAAAAATTATATATATTTTATTATTTTATTTTCGCTTGCACATACAGAATGCCATTAACACTACACCCCAGCTAAATGTTTTTTTTTGTTTTGTTTTTTTAAAGGTATTTCAGATTCTTTTTATTAATTAAGATCAAATTTCCAGTTGCCAAAAGATGGCTTTCTTTTTGTACTGTACATAGAAGATGAAATGCCAAAATAACTCATTAGGTTCCAACTTTATCTGGTGACTGCCAAATGGTTATCTGTTTCACTTAACATTTCTAGGTGTTTTCAAATCCCTTATCATGGTATTCCATTAACTTTGCCAAATAAACAAAAATATTGCATATGCTACCCGTGCAGAGAGCTTCGTATTTAAATATGGTGACTTGAGTCCTTAATCATAGTGTGGTTTAATATGCATAGTTTATTAAACTCTATTTCTAGGTTGGTGGATGTCTGCAACAAAATTTAAATGTGCAATGTATTGCAGGCTTTCATAATTAAAGAATATTTTTGAGGTTTGTGAGCAAACCAAGAGGCCTCAGTGTTGGGAATTAGTTTGCTGTTTAATAATTCTGCCAGATACTCGTATGCTCTTCCTGCAAAAGAAAAAAATGAGTATATATTTCTTTTTTCACTTTAAAGACCCTTAATATTTGTTAAAATTTCAAAAAAGTTGGGAAAGCAAATATATTTAAAGCACACGTCTATCCGTGTTTTCCATTGCACGGCGTTGTATTTTTTTTATTTATTCTCCTCTAGTAACCATTGGCAGATTTCTAGCAAGTGGGGAAGGAAATCAGTTGTGCCATTGGTTTAGTTGCTATGCAACGCAGTGGGTTTACAAATGCTGGAGTCACTGCCTCAGGGATGCAGATAAGGATTGGGGAATCAACAGTAATTGCATACAAGATGTTTACATTTAACCAATTTGGTCCCAAAATAATCTGGGTTTGCCAGACACTGGAAGGATTAAATGCCTGAATGATTAACATTATCTTCATACAAATAAAAAAAGGCAAATTCCTTAAAATAATTATAATTTCCATCCCGCAGCAAACATGTAATTTAACCATTTAAAGTAACAGTTGTAGGTATAGTACAACTCTGAATGCGATAATCATTGTACATACATCTCTCTTACTCTTAATCTCTCCCTCCCCTCCCCCCCCTCTCTCTCTCTCTAAATATATATATATATATGGCAGCATCCATATTGGCTTTGTAATCATTAGTTTTTTGGCAGATTGAATGTGCTGTTATTGATAAATATGTATCTATGTAATTGTATTGTATGTCTAATAGCTAATTCACATTTTGAATAATGTTCATTTTAACTTTTATTTTTTTTAAATTTTTTTTTTTTAAAGAGAGGAGAATGTACATTTTGTCAGTTTATATTAATTGTTAGGGATTTTATCTTTCTCTCCATAGAAATTATGACTTACAAAATGTTACTCTGGTATCAAACAGTACCAAACCTGTGATATGAAGTAAAAAAACAAAAACAAAAAAAATGCATTTCTGAATTGAGGTACATTTATAAAGAATGTCCTGAAATCTTCTGTGTATGAATTGATTGCTAAGCATCCGTGAACTCTAGATTATTATGGACTGCATACACATATGTTACTGGACGATGACTGATCAGAGCTCAAGATTTATATTCTGTGAACAATAATTTGTTTAAAGGCCCCATAACAACACTCAAGGAGGTGGCAAATACAAATGATCTTTGCAAACTCTCTAAACATTAAAGAGGGGTATACTTTTTATGAAACAAACTGTGAGCTTCAGAGAGAATAGGTAGATGTACTAGGACTCTGTGAAACCTTAAAGAATGAAAAAATATTAACATAATATAAATATATATGTGTGTGTGTATATATATATATATATATATATATATTTATATTCTTATAGTGTTTTCCTAATTGCACACCTAGTGCTTTTGCAAAAGTATTCCATTGCATAACAAAACTAAGTATATCAAACACACACAGTATATTATTCAAGTTGTTAGCACACACTAATGTATATAATTGTCACAAATGTTGAATTTCTAGTCCGTAAAAAAAAAAAAAAAATAAATATATATATATATATATATATATTTTTTTTTTTTGTTTTGTTTTGGGGGGGTTTTCTTAAGCTTTTTTTTTTTTTTAAATGATGCTGTGACAGGAATGAAAATTGACACTGAAGCTTCACATTTTTTTGTGAATGGGGACAGCATGTGTTTTTAATATTTGTATGTGTTTTTGTATGTTTTTGGTTTTTACCTTATGATCTTTGATACACTTAATTTTATTTGAACTCATTCTTTCACTTTTGGGTTGTGTGGCTACTTCTCAATATTCCCTATATAATGGGGTACTGACATTTCATCACTAATCTAACTAATGGTAGAGTCAGATTTGTGGCAAGAATAGATTTGGAGACGGAACAATAGCTGACATTTTGTCTTTTCACAGTAATTCCTTTATAAGTTATAGGGATATTTTTACATATCTATTTCCGAATAGTATGTGCCATTTGATATTGTATCTAAAAGTACTAACGTATAGATACCATTGCAAAGGTTTCCAGAAAATGAACAAAAACGTTCAACATACCATTGCAATGTTTTTTGTTTGCCCCTGATGCTTTTCATTTTTTTGTGGTCAATATGTATTTGATCCACACGTGCACATAGCAGAAAATACTGCAAAGTGGTTCCCACTAAGAATGTATCACATTATTTTAAAATTGGTAGTTTTCAGTGATGCCTTACAGAGCTCCAATCCAGACTTTTTGTGCCTGAAACCTAAATTGGAAGAAAAATATGTATAGTTTGGTTTTGGTTTTTCCTTAAAACTCTGCCAAAATTAAGTGCTTTTCATGAGCGTCCTATGTGGGAGTACTAGGAAACCTTTAAGACCCAAATAGGTTGCAAATGTCAAATGTGTATTTTTATACCATTGTGTGCCAGTTATGTAAGCAATGCACTGTGTTGGTAATCGCATTGGCACAAATTACAATTTAAGCAGATGTTAAACTTGCCTTTTGAACCATTTATTTTTGGTTCCAGCAAACTACTAATACATGATGAAGCGATTTTCTTGTAAACAGATAATCCCTTTAAAAGTCGTACGGACACTTTTAATTACCCAGATGCCGTGGTAAAAGATTGGATGGGGAATGGTAGTTGTAGTACTTTCTTGGTTCTTATAATGCCGAAGCAGATAACATGACACTTGTTTTCTAAATGTGTAAGTAAATGATTATAATTTTTTTTATTGGTGGGTTGATTTAGTGTTGTATAAAAGTAGATATTTAGCTAATGAGATACAAGGGCCACAGGATAAAGCATTGGAACTTTAATACTCCTGATGTTGCCTAACCCATACAGGTCAAGTTTTAACTTGCCCTACACTGATAGCATAGATGGAAGTTGCTACAGCTAACTATTATGCCACAAAATCCATAAAATCTGAGTTGATAAATGTACACTTTTATTTTGGTTTTATTTAGAAAAGGAGTGTTTCCAACCATGTACTATAATTACTCCTAATGTTTTTATCCATATGTTTTGAATTTATACAACCAAAGATCCACAGATTGTGCTTCTGGGTGTATCTATGTCTATGTAAATCCAGCTGCATACACGTTTTTGTGTATGTGCATTCATATTTTATGCCATGCTGTTAATGTTTTTTTGGGATGTCATCATGCTGCCACAATTTAAAGTAGAAAGGAGACAGATGTTGGAATTTGGTGCAATTTTTTTAATTGATTCATTGAGCATCTGTTTTTTTTCCCTCCCCACTATATAAGTTAATTGGGCTTCACTTTTTCATTTTAAATATTGTTTAGTATCAAATTAAACAGTGATGCATTATTCTTCCGTGTGTCTTGGACTTTAATTTTGTTCATAAGAAGAATGTTGTAGGCCCGTCTGTCACTTTCCAACAATTTGTCTTAGGAAAGAGAAGCCTTTGAAACTGCATAGCTGCATTTCAAAGGAATTCTCAAAGCACCATAACCACTACATCTTTTTGTCACCCTGCCATTATAAATAGTCAAACCTGTTTGAGCTCTTACATGAGGTCCATTGGGCACCAATCCCCACCTCCACCATTAACAATGAAGAACCAGAAGCTCTCTGTCTAAATGAAGTTCTGCACTGTAGTGCTTAGTTTAGGAGAGCTAATGGAAGTTCCCGCTTAGGACTTTCCAGTTCCTTGTTGTCTGCAGTATAGGCAGAAATAGGAGCCCACCAGATTCATTGGCTTCTTACAATGGGTGGGGCACCAGGGCACTTGTGGTACCATAACCACTGTAGTAAACTGTAGTGGTTATGGTGCTTGGAATGTTCCTTTAATGCATGAAAAATTTTTTTTTTAAATAAACAAATGGTGATTTAATAAATAACTATAAAAAACCCCTTCTGTAATGATCTGCAATGCCTTCTGCTTCCTCAATATCATTTTGGAACAACATGCTCGGTTCTTCCAGCCAATTTTTGTTTTTCATTTTACTTGTATAGGCAGCTTGTATATCATGCTCACTAGCACTGCCATGTTTCTTTATTGGCTGAAATTAATGAATGAACTAAAACATGTTTAAGTCAATGAATGCTACCTGCTGCTTTTATTCACTGGAATGTTTGTTAAATCATTATTTCAAGTCAGTGGAGAAACCGTTGTACACACATGCGTCCTAACTTTTCACTTTCGCTTTCTTTTGGAAAAGCCAGCAAGTGGAAAGTTGCCAGCGTGTGCACTAGGTTGCACAATATTTCTGCAAATATCAATTATTGTTTTTGCATGGGGCGTTAGCAAAGGATTTCAAGGGCAATTCTATATTTGCTATCAATGTACTGCCAGTTAATTATAGATAAAAGAATGAAGTTATTCAACTCCCTTATTGTTAGAATCAATTGTTCCACCTTTGAACCAAGCCACAGTGTGTTTGTTCCACTGTTACATAAGAGTCTCTACATAGGTGCCCCCCATATATATTATATTTTTTTAAATGGCAGAAATTTAATTATTTTATTATCCTTTATGTATACTCAACACATCATTAAGTGTGAATGAAATGTTAAAAATGGGTAAACAAAACATATTTTTCAAAATTTTTTCTTTTAATACATTTCCACATCCAGTGCTACTTAAGAAAAGGAACTCAAAATAGATCATATCAGCCATGTTTTTTTGTTTTTTTTAAATACCACATATGTCTAGGATCTAAAATTACTTTTGACGGATAATGCTAACTGTATACAGACCTAAATTATGCTTACTCTAACTGTATACCTACCTTAACCTAACACTAACCCTAAAACCGCATTAACACATACCCTAATACTAACCATACCCCTTATAAATTCCCTCTGCTAATATCAGTACGGATAGTAGATGTATTTTCTTTGACTGCCATCTACTGGCCCTTTTCAGAATGGAGATCTCACTGTAATGCTGAACCTCCAGCATGCTCCCTAGCACTGATCACAATTGGCAAGGGGCATGCAGGGAGAACCTTTGTCTTCTGTTGAATAACTCCCACAGCTGACAGCTAGCGATTAACCATGACTGAGCTTGATCTGCTTAGCCACAGTGATTTCAAAAGGCTGTATACATTGCATATATATCAGTCAGTCTGGGACCATTAAATATTAAAGCCCATGTATTGATTGATACCGGGATAGCCTGTTCATACCATGTTGCAGCCACTAAGATTCAAATCCCCATTTAAAGGACTGTATGCAACACTCACTTGGAGCGCTGCATACAGCTTATCAGTTTGGAGCCACTAAAGATGACGGAGCCCCAAGTACCTCTCATATGTTGTTAAAGCCTGTTTTTTGTAGGACATAATGACACGTCCTAACATCGTTATGGGGCAAAAACTCACTTTTCTCAATTTTAAATGTTTACTTATCAATATATTTAATAATTATGTATTTGTCTAGTATGAAAAATAAAGTTAAATGTAGAAATCAACACTTCTTTATCCTGCAGCTGGGCACCTCCACCTAAACCTGGCTGTCGGCATAAAGAAAGCATACAGAGAAGAAGAGAAATTAAACAATATTTCTATTGAAATTATGGTTCACCTTTATATTTACTCCGAGGGTATAGCCATATATAAGTGTGGTTTACTCTTAAATACAATTTACGTAAAAGTGTGCCACTGTGCAAAATATCTTTTTAAGGTTGTTCATAAAGTAAGTATACTGCTTATGTACACTTGTTGAGTTTTTTATGATGTACAATTTTTTGAGGAGCTATAACATTATGTAAAATGTAATAATGTCCAATAAAGAGATTAAATATAAATAACAATGGTTTATCAGTAGAAGGTGGTTTTGTTGGTGACTAAGCAAGAACCAAGTTTGATCCATCCACTTACCTCTGATTACATTAGTTGACATGAGTTTTCTAACATTGGTACCAATGGATGGAGCAAGCATGGACAAAAATTTATTTATTTTGAGAACTGGATAGGGATGTAATTTACCGGGCAGCTAAAAAAAAAAGCTGTGCTGCAGGAAACCTATACATAAATATGGTTTACAAAGAAACGTTAAAAGGACATGCAACACATTTAGACAACGGTCTTACTCAAAAACCTTAGCTTTGAATGAGACAATTGCCTCACTTTGCAGGTTGAACAAAAAGCAGGTAAATATGGTGGTTTTTTTTCATATTTACCTGCTTTTTTGGTTCTTTTAAATTTGCTTACCCAGTCTAGGAGGGACATTGATCTAACCAATCATTGTGCTATCCCTAGAAATGCTGTAAAGGTGCTTTGTACATGCATGACAGATTTCCACATGTGCAGTTGGAAGCTCTCTTCACATTGCAACATCCTGACAGAGAAAGAAAAGGGACTATGGTCATTGTAATCATGCAGAGCAGACTCAGTTGTTGGATTTCTCTCTCCTTCAGCTGCAGCACAATGATGCCCTATTTCTTTCATTACTGGACTGGATTATTGGGTGGGAACGAGGGGAGGTGGGAGGCTGACTAATTTAACTTAAAGGGACACTATAGTCACCTGAACAACTTTAGCTTAATGAAGCAGTTTTGGTGTATAGAACATGCCCCTGTAGCCTCACTGCTCAATCCTCTGCCATTTAGGAGTTTAATCCCTTTGTTTATGAACCCTAGTCACACCTCCCTGCATGTGACTTGCACAGCCTTCCATAAACACTTCCTGTAAAGAGAGCCCTATTTAGACTTTCTTTATTGCAAGTTCTGTTTAATTAAGATTTTCTTATCCCCTGCTATGTTAAGAATTTACAAAGAAATTAATAGTAAACGTCTAAAAAGATTGGCATAGAATATATATGGTTACTGGACTGAAAGTCTAGAAAATTGCAGTGTTTAATTTATTGAAAGAGTAACAAAAACTAGAAAATTACAATTCCCTGAATCTTTGCCAGCCTAACAACTATATGTCCAACTCTGATTTATACCATATAAATAATGCTTTGGTGGCGACCTTAGATAATAACAGATTTGATAGATTAAAGTTTAGCAGAAGTAGTTATATGGTTATTATTAATTATACCAGCAAATGGTATAAATGTGATATTGTATTCCTATAGCTAAGAGGACATCAATGACTACTAAATGAATGAATACTAAAAAGTATTAAAATGAAAAATTATGCCTGTAAGATTCTCAAAATATCAACAAAAAATTACAAGTGAAACTTGAATTGATCTATCTGTAACTTTTTGAATTGTATTGAAAAAATTGCAACAGGAATGTGATCAATTTTTGAGTTTTGAACAAAACCAAAATGCACTTTAGATTTAAAATTTTTTTTTTAAAAAGAGGCGAGGCGCTTGAACAGAGGGAAACAGTGAGAGTTTTCTATAATACACGCTTGGCTGTTTATCTTTTGTATCACATGATATTTTAAGATTAAGATTAGATTTATGGCAAAGTAGAGTTTAAGGGAAACTTGGGGACAAACTGGATTAAAATGGTTGTAGATACCTCTTCAGGGAGTAACGTTAATCTCAAGAACAGTGAGACAGACCAATATCTAGCGGAGATTAAAAGAACACTATAGGGTCATGTATTCCTGACCCTATAGTGTGAAACCCACCATTTAGATGGCTTGCCCCCCTCCTTAAAAGTAAAAAAAATAAAAAAAACTCACCTTATTTCCAGTGCCGCGTTGTTCCGGCGCTGGCCCCACCCCCTTGGTGATATCAGAATAGCCGATTTCTGTTAGATATGTGGAAAATTGTACAAAATCTCAAAGAAGACCTCTTACAAAAACTGTTAAAGCAGCCTGTAAATATTTTGGTTACAAATTGAGAAATCATGATAAAAGCTGGGTTTCTCATGTATGTCATTTTAATTTAACACAGTGGAAAGAATGTTTCTTTGCCATTTAGACTACCAGTAGTATGGCATGAACCAAGAAATCATGTAAGTGGCTGCTACTTTTGTTTAACCAAAATCTCTGGATTTTCAAAAAAAAAAAAAAGGAAATAAGTTCAATACCTAGATGTCTTGTCTGTTAAGAAATCAGTTCCACATAGTCTGAGCCTCCTTCTCAAGACTTACTTCAGGCGGCACTCCTGGGTCACGGCTGCCCGAATGCATGTGTGTGCGAGTGCTGGGGCGGTTGCATCACATCTCGCAGGCAACGATACAAACTTGGGAGATATGTATGATCATTCCATGGCGCAGAACAGCCCTGTGGGCATGGCTGGAACAAATTAAACTACATTACTTGCCACGGCAACCCAAAAAAACAATATGGTGCTCCTTCCCTGCAACTACCTGTTATTTTTGCTTTCCAAAATTTACCGCAGCTCTGGCCTGCCCCACCGTTTCTGAACGTTTGTTTCCTGGATATTAGACATTTTGACTTTGACCTTGCCTTTGCCTTGTCCCGGCCAGATTTGTTCTTCTTGGTTCTTCTTTATTTTATGGTCTACTTCTAAAAGTATGGCTCTTTGGGTTTCGTATTACTAACGTGACACTCCCTGTATTTATCCCTCCCTCTGCTCAAGAATACAGTGACCTCTTGGAACAAAAAGAATATGAACTTGATGTAGATGCCTCTTATGATGATATGATAACAGTATTTACACCTGACAATGTTTCAGAGCCACATTTAATAACTCAACCGGAATTAAATAATTTGGTATGGGATTTAAATTTTAACTAAACAGGCACAACTCTTAGGTTCAAGATTACAGGAATGGAGTTTATTACACAGATCAAGTATGGGACCCAGCAATGATGGGTGATATTTGTTGGTTTTGTCACCACGAAGGGTCACATAAAAGAAAAAAAGTAGAAATCTTTAATGTTATATAATGTAGTTCATCTGTTTTATTGTATTTTGAGTTTTATTTTTAATTTTGTTGCCGTGTAGCTATTAAATGTTTTTGTTCTATATGGATTATTTTCTAGAATGTAAGAATTTAAAGAATTAGGAACCAGGGTTCTTCCTGACACCATTTCCTTCTTCGCCACACTGATAATATGGAATTATCTGTTTTTAGTGAAAGTTTTGTCCTTGCCAGATGTATAGTGATGATGTAAAAGTAACCTACCCATACCTCTGCAACACATTTCACCCAGTAAAGGTTATATAGTACGGTGGGCCACCATTCTGTGTATCTCTGTTGTGTTTTTTCCTAGTTGGTATGATATATATGTTTTTTATCTAAGGATAATAGCATCTCCACTTTGACTATAATGGCCATTGCCTGCTTTCCTATGTCGAAAATGCTGTAGTCTTTTATTCTCTACTTTTCAGTATGTCCTCTGCTTTCTCAATCTCTGCCTTAGCAAAAGTTTTGCCTGTGGTTTCCTCAAGAACAATTCTTCTAGCAAACCTTAGTAGCGCTTTAGCACGCTCAAATAGAGGGTGTCAAGCAAACATTCCCCACTCTAGAATGTGTAGATCTAGTTGTCTTTATTAGACTACTTCTGCAATCAAGCCTTGGTGGAATTTGAGGTAATCTTGGAATCGTATAATGACGTCAATGCTTCAGCTTCCTCGCAGACGGCATGACGTTTTCTCCTAGGATTTCCTGACACTTCAAATAATTCATCGTGCCTTCCACATGCTGCATGTTTCCAGTGCCAGAGAATGCAAAGCAGCCCCAATGCCTCACCGAGCCACCACCATACTTATTTTCAGCGTATGCTTCATTCTTCCTCTATACATACCGTTGATAGATTGGCCAAAAAGCTCCAGTTTTGTTTCAACGCTCCACAAAACAATATCCCAAAACTTATGTGGCTTATTTATAAGATTTTTGAGCCTATTAAAGCTGACTTTTCTTGTGCTTTTGGGTCAGTAGTGATGTATGTATTCAATTTCTGGTATAGAAACCTTACTGTGCTCACTAAAACCTCCGTGCTTTTTGCCACCAAGTCTTGCTGCAGGTCTTTTGCAGTCACTTGAGGGGTTTTCACAGCCTGACTTCTCAGAAATCTGATTGCAGCCATTGATAGCGTCTTTTTTTCTGCCCTGTCCAGGTAGTGTAACCACTGTTCCATTAACCTTGAACTTGCCAACCATACTTCCAAATGTGTCTCTAGGAACATTCAGTGACTTCACTATCATTTTGTATACTGTTCCTGGTTTGTGAAGGGTGAATGTCTTCTCTTAACTCTGTGGACCATTCTTTTGACTTAGCTATATTTCTAACATGCAGTCAAACGTAATACTCGACAAACCCCATGCCAGTTCAGGTATTTCAAGTATTCCAGCTCAAGCACTCCTGGTGCAACTAATGTAGCCCTTGATTAGTTGCACCAGGTGTGCTTGAGACAACACCTGTTTTGTATATTTGTGCTGTTGTGAGGGATTCTATTTAAAGGATTGATTAATTTTGAGGCTGCGAGAAGTCTTAAGTTGAATTTGGGGAAAACTCTTGAAGCTTTCGTTGTGTTAAGCTATTTTAATTGCTTTTGTTTGATTTGTTCATTGCAAACAGCTGAAAGTCTGTAAATTTTGACAATAAAACAGAGTTTCAAAGGGGGTTCAATATTGTAGATCACAACTGTGTGTCTCTTCTTTACATGTGTTACGAGGCTTTCCCTTCACATAAAATAGTCTGAGCCACTTACGGTAATTGGTGCACATGGTGAAAAACAAATAACGTTTTTATCCTTTCCAAAACATTGCAACACTCAGTATGAATTTATTTTTATTTACAATTATTGAAATGGTTTATTTTACTAATACAATAGTGCAAGGGGTCAACAAGGCTGCCAGAACTGAATAGGCTGGGGAGATTTTAAGCCTTGACATGTACCTGGACAGCCCAGTCCCCAAGGGACTGCAGTGAAGCCAC